TTGAATTATTAAGGAAAAACATGGACCAATCAGAGCGCGAGGATTACGCGTGCACAGACGTGAGTGCGACAGCTGCGAGCCTAGCGGTTGAGCGTGCGTAATCCTCGTGCTCTGATTGCTACGCGTTGGTTAACTACGCGTTAGATTTCCACGTGTTAGATTCCTACGCGTAGAATTACCACGCGTTGGATTACTACGCGTTGGATTACTACGCATTGGATTACCACACGTTGTATTACTAAGCGTAGAATTACTACGCGTTGCATTGCTACGCGTTAGATTTCCACGCGTTAGATTCCTACGCGTAGAATTACCACGCGTTGTGTTACTACGCGTTGGATAACTACGCGCTATCCGAAGCTGTCGCTCTCGCGTCTGCGCACGCGTAATCCTTGCGCTCTGATTGGTCCGTGTTTTTCCTTAATAATTCAAAGACGAAGCTTCATACCCCATTTTTGCAAAGAGAAATCTCATTCAGAATCGCGTCAGCTATCCCCCATTTCAGGGACCTACACTAATTGTGAGACACCCTGTATAAATATATGCCATATATACTAAATATAACATGGATGTTCATGTTACTTATGATGCAAAATTTATTTATTTTTTGTAATAATAAATTATTTTGACTAAAATAGTTATATAGTGTTCATAAATGAAGTGAGCTGAAATGACTCGAATTGCACGATTCGTATGCAAAATTTTTAGTTATTTTTTAATAAACTTGCGAAATTTTAGTTTCAAGTTATGCAAACTGAAATTATCAAAATGTTGAGTTATGAAAATTGCAAAATGTTTCGTGAGAAATACAAGGTTTGACAATCATGTGACTTTGATATTTATCATTGTTTTTTGATGAGAAAATATGTAAAACAAAAACGTGATTTGTTTGGAAAGGGCAAATATGGTAAGTAAATAAGTTATTTCATGTTTTACATTCATTTCTAGTTTTTATCGAACATCACTTCATTCTTATGTAATAAAAATGATAATTCAAAGAGTGATACCAAGAATAGTAATGCGTAGTGTAATAATAAAAAATAATAATGTAATGTAATGATAAAAATAATGTATACTTTTATTTTAAAGAAATATTAGTAATTTTGAAATTATAGAAAACAGTGATTTTTTAATATTTGCCTTTTCAATACAAACATGTTTCTGTTACATTTTATCATTAAAAATAATGATGGAAAATGATAAAAGTCGTACAAATTAATTGGGCCACTTCATATGTATATCAAATCAAGTGGAGTGTTTTATGAATTATTTCAACATAAAACAAAATATAATTATTTAAAGGCGTTCATACAAAAATTATTATATTAAAGTTAATTTTTTACAAATTTATTAAATTTATTATATCTGTCATTTTTTCAGAGATTTAATAATTGTTTCTATTATTTTTTGTATAGATTTAGTAAATTTATTATTTTTTGTACAGATATATGAAATTTGTTATTTCTATCATTGTATAATATTATTTTTTGTAAAGATTTATTAAATTTATTATTTCTATTTATTCAAATTATTCTAATATCAGGCAAAGTAGGAAATATAACAAAAATAAGAAATAATCAAAAAACAATAATTTTATCGATTGTAAAAAGACTAACTTTACAAGTACGATTACAACAATCGACTAAATAATATTTACAGAGGTCATTTATATCCACAAATTGTTAATAAATTTCCAAATTTGCAATGCATGAACCTGTAATATTTATTGCAAGTTAATTCCCCTCTCAAATTAATTAAAAGAATCTTCTGAACCACTGTTATAAACAAATCCTCTCAAAACTATTTTTATGATTTCTCTTGTGTCCTTATTTTCTATCGATCGAACTATGTTAACATTTCTCAAAATATTTCCGCCTGTAATAGTTTCCATTAAAAATTTAAAATCTAATTCCTTGTAACATATGTTATATACGATTTTTCTCTTATTTCTTTCTAAATATTATACTGTTTTATTTGGTTATCAATTGTACTTGCATCATGGGCGAACTAAACGAAATAGAAATAGTTCTGATATATTAGAAGCTTCTTTTTACTTGACGTTCGCGTTAGAATTTACCATTTTTGTTAGATTTAGTGCAATAAACAAATATCCCTTGCATCGATATTTCTGTTAGTTTATTAGATGCTGAGATGCACATTAGCTGGAATATAGAAAAAATCATTCGCAATAGGCTGACTAAATAATTCATCATAATTATTATACATCGTAATAATAAATGAAAATGCTGTGCATAATTAAAAAGTTAAAACTTGTTCAGCAAATAACACAAAAAGTAGTAGAAAATCAATACATAACAGTTATAGAATTCGAATATTTTATATTTTATTCACTAGTCGTTGAAAAGGAATCAAGCGCCTTTACCTGATTCAAATTTCCCGCGCTAAATTTCAGATCTCCATAATTCGTACTTTTTGTACATTTTTGTAAATTTTCTTACACGTGTACGGGTATACAAATTCAACACGTGACAAATTGACTTTTTTGTCCTAAAATATGAGAATATTTTCTAATTAAGAATTATATGCATTTTATTACAAAATGCAAAATTTTTTATTGGTTAGTTCACGTCATTCAATGTGATATTAGTTAATGTCATTCAATCTGTTACTTCTACAGTAACAGTTTTTTTATTTCTGAACGAAACTCAAGTTTTTATTCCCTGAAAATCTATTGGTATTTATAGAGAAACAAATCAAACAATGAAAAATAAATTACGACTTCAGAAAATTAGTATATGGTATAAATTTCTGAGATTAAATTTTACAAATCTCCGAAATTAAAAAATGTAAGAAATTTCTAAAATTAACAAAAAATGTAATAATTTTCTGAAATTAAAAAATTCTATTTTTGAAAAATTTTCAAACTCACAAAGATTGAAAAATCTATTAAATTTTAGAAATGAACAAAGTTAATAAATTTCCGAAATTTAAATATCTAACAAATTCCAAAAACGTAGTCAATGATGAAAAAAATTTTGAAAATGTATTAAGAGATCTAAAAAATTTCTAACAATTTAAATTTAAATTTGTAAGATGTAACAAGAAATTTAGAATACAGCGTATTTCGAATGATTAGTAGCGATAGACTCGAGTAGAACAATTCTATGTACAACGTAGCCTGTAGATAGAAGAGTTATACTTTAATTAAACTGTGATTTCTTTTACCACATTTAATCCACCACTGTTTGACACGTTAACTGTTCAAAGTTGCTAAGGAAAAATTCAGTGCTAACATTTTATGTATGTATCTGTTTTCAGAAAACTAATTCACCTGCAAATATTTTAAAAGGATACTTAAAATGTTCAAACAAGTACAATTGTGGAATATTTTTTAATAACATTTGAAAATATATGAAATTAATTGTTCGACTGACTAGACACACTCGAATGATTAGAAGGAGAAGTACGAACAAAATATTTCGAATTTATTAATTTATTAATATTGAATAATTGATGAATTATCGTTTTGCCACTAAAAATTTGATAAACTCTTAAATTTGACATGGTTTGATGACATAAAAGTATCTTACAATAGTACTTGTATTACGTCAATTAAACAGATGAAGTTTTATAAAAATAACTTCATGAGTTTCACTAAACAAAATGGCTGACCATCAGTTACAATAAACAGCAACCAATTTGGGAACATGAAAAATTTAATATAATTTTACGACATAAAAGTGCAACATATAATACTTATGTTATGTCTATTTATAGCTTAAAGTCCCACTAAGATAACAGTATGGAGGTTTCATTAATCTTCCAAATACAAAATGGCTGACTACCAGTTTTAGCAAACAACAATCAATTTTGAAACGTAAAATGTTTAATATAGTTCGATGACATAAAAGTGTAACATAATAACACTTACATTACACTAGTTTCAAGATTAAAGTCTCATGAAAATAGCAGCATGAAGATTTCATTAATATTCCAAATACAAAATGGCTGACTACCAGTTTTAGTAAACAACAATCAATTTTGAAACGTAAAATGTTTAATATAGTTTGATGACATAAAAGTGTAACATAATAACACTGACATTACACTAGTTTCAAGATTAAAGTCTCATGAAAATAACTGCATAAGAATTTTGTTAATATTTCAAATACAAAATGGCTGACAATGAATTATAATAAACATCAATTAATCTTGAAAGATAGAAAGCTTGACATAGTTTGATAATATAAAAGTGTCACATAATAATACTTACATTACACCAATTTCAAGGTTAAAGTCTTACGAAAATAACTGCATAAAGGTTTCACTATTACTCCAAATACAAAATGGCTGACTACCAGTTACAGTAAACATCCACCAATTTTGAAACATATTCAGTTTGACATAGATTGATGACATAAAAGCAGCAGAAAATGGTCCATGTGTTATATCAATTCACAGCTTAAAGTCTTATGAAAATAACTGCATAAAGGTTTCATTATTATTCCAAATACAAAATGGCTGACTACCAGTTACAGTAAACATCAACCAATTTTGAAACATATTCAGTTTGACATAGATTGATAACTTAAAAAATTAACAAAATGGTGCATGTGTTATATCAATTTACATTTTAAAGTCTTACGAAAATAACTGCATAAAGATTTCCTTAATATTCCAAATACAAAATGGCTGACTACCAGTTACAGTAAACATCCACCAATTTTAAAACATATTAAGTTTGACATAGATTGATGACATGAAAACTTTACAAAATGGCGCATGTATATCAATTTCAAAACATTACAGTTTCACGAAAATAACTCCACAAAGTTCTCACTAAAATTCTTCACACAAAATGGTGGAATCTTCAGAGTATCATTAAATATGCAGCAACGATTAAAATTAATTCTTACACTGCAAAGTCAAACAATTTCTATTAAAAATTTAGATGAACTTGTTCATCATTGTTGTGATTGTTTCAAGGTTTAAATTACAGGTTCTATTTTAATATTAAATCACAAGTTCTATTTTTTAATATCCACTTTTACGTAATTCGATCGTATAAATTCTCTGCTTTGAAATCCATAATAAAGTCATGTAATATGAAGCAAATTTTCTGTAGTTCAATAATTCACGAGAATTATTGTTAATTCCGGTACCGAGTTGCGGAAATTAATATCCATGTAAAGAGAATACATTTTCTTTAAAAAGAAGGATAATCATAGCTTAATCAGCAGAAAGCGGATCCTACATAATTCAGTTAATACCAGTTTGAATTCGACTAAATTGATTAAAGTGCCGTGTAAAATATTCAAATTTACTGTGCCAGTTTCACGAACAATTCAACCACAGCTCGATACGTGCATTAAATTATTTAAGTTTATTAATTTCGTATGACGAGTGCTTTGCTTTAACTAATACACTGTTTTAATAGATTTATTATATATACAAATGCGAAAATTGAGTTTCTAATAAACTTGTTTTATTCGAAATTTAATATGTTTGAATGGTATATGATTATTTAAAGATTGTGTAATTCATAATGGAAATATAAGATATTGTTAAAATATCTAAATTCTCTAATAGTTAAATTGGAAATTCTGTTAGAATATCATTCTTATATTTACGACTGTCATTAGTAAATTGGTAAATTGGTACATTGGAAAATTGGTAAATTGGTAAATTGGTAAATTGGTAAATTGGTACATTAGTACATTGGTACATTGGCACATTGGTACATTGGTAAATTGGTAAATTGGTAAATTGGTACATTAGTACATTGGTACATTGGTAAATTGGTAAATTGGTAAATTGGTAAATTGGTAAATTGGTACATCGGTAAATTGGTAAATTGGTACATTGGTAAATTGATACATTGGTAAATTGGTACATTGGTAAATTGGTACATTGATACATTGGCACATTGGTACATTGGTAAATTGGTAAATTGGTAAATTGGTACATTAGTACATTGGTACATTGGCACATTGGTACATTGGTAAATTGGTAAATTGGTAAATTAGTACATTGGTAAATTGGTAAATTGGTAAATTAGTACATTGGCACATTGGTACATTGGTAAATTGGTAAATTGGTAAATTGGTAAATTTACTTTAGTGAAAAATGCACTAATATTAAATATTAAGTATCAATGAAATAATATTAAAAATATGTTGCTGATACAATATTGTCAAATGTTGATTACAATCAATAATTAACATCGATACAGGATTAATATATTAACGTTAAATATTTAATATTAAAACATAATTGATATATGTATTAACATTGATTGTCAATATCAATCATAAGATTAAGATATTAATATGAATCATTCACATTAATTACAAGATTAGTAAATTAATATTAAACATTTAATATTAATTAAAATTATTAAAACTAATATTTAATATTGATTAAAATTAATAAAATTAAATATTTAATATTAATTAAAATCAATAAACTTAATATTTAATATTACTCAAAGATTAATATATTAACATCGAATGCTCAGAATTGAGACAATACGCCAATATCAAATATTCAATATCGATATACTATTAAATCATTAACATCACCACAAGAGTAATATATTTATATTATATATATTATATATATGTATAATAATATAATATATAAATATTGAATATCACCACAATTTCAAATATTTCACACTAACACATTAACGTCCCGATGAAAAATACTTCACAGACAAAACAAATACAATATCAAATATTTTCCAAAATCCAAAATATAAAACCGATAAAAAGAAATGATAACAAAAGTAACAGATATTTTATTGTAAATAATAGGAGCAGTACATCCACGGCTGCAACTGCATTTGCAATTGCAACATCTGCGTCAAGCAACCCTCCAGACAAAGGGATGGATGGAAACAATCGCAGCGGTTCTTGTCGAGACAAAAACAGACGGAAGGAATCAGTCATGTCAACTGCAGCTACAATGCGAGTGTTAAATGTTTTGAGGCACTGGGTCTCGAAACACGCTCAAGACTTCGAGTCCGATCAGAAATTGAAGAATCTGACGATCGAGTTCTTGGAGGATATCATTTACTGCCCTAATTTGCTACCCGCCGAGCACAAAGCTGCGAGCCAACTTCTCAGGCTGATTACTAAAGAAGAACCAGAAAGCAACAAAGTGGATCTTAAGAAACTGTTGACTCCACCGACTGTATGTAAAACGTGTCACTTTATAGATTTTTGTAATTAATATGAATAAGGAGCATGAAGTTCTTATTAAATATATTTGAAAATATTGATTTTAGAGAAAAAAGTTTCAGACAAAAAATGAAGCTTATAAATAGCTCTATAAAGAAGGTTCTATACATTTCTGACATAAACCTATTATTTTGGCTGTTATGACAAATATTGTTAAATGTCATTTCCAACTCGTTCCCCAGCACCCTTCAAAATTTTTACAGTTCTTACCAAATATATTCGAAAATATTGATTTTAGAGAAAAAAGTTTAAGACAAAAAATGAAGCTTATAAAAAGCTCTATAAAGAAGGTTCTATACATTTCTGACATGAACCTATTATTTTGGCTGTTATGACAAATACTATTAAATGTCATTTCCCAACTCATTCCCTAGCACCTTTCAAAGTTTTTTACAGTACTTACTAAATATCTCCGAAAATATTGATTTTAAAGAAAAAAGTTTGAAACAAGAATTAAAGCTCCTGAAAAGCTCTACAAAGAAGGTTATATACATTTTTGACATAAACCTATTATTTTGGCCGTTATGACCTGAAATATTTTGACGAAGTCAAATTCTGCCCAGAGCACTTTTATAACATTTTTCTTCATAACAGCTAAAATGCTAGTTCTACATAAAAATTGTATACAATATTTTTTATAGAATCTTGTAGGAGGTTTATTTTTTGCTTAAAACTTTTTCCTCTAAAATCAATACTTTTGGAGATATTCAATAAAAGCCGTTAAAAGAGGGCTTCGAAAGGGTCTGAGGCAAACGAGGCTTTGTCGCTAGAAATGTTTTTAGGAACTTTTTCCTTTAATCAAGAGTAAGCTTTGGTTTTCAGCACGATCGGAGCTTTTCACTTTTCAGAACTTCAACCGAAATTTGTGAATTTTGAATTTGCAAACACGAGAATTCGTAATTTAAAATAAAAATCGTCTCATGTGATTTCAGGTGCAGACTAAAGAAAGTATCGAAACATTATCCGCATTGGAAATTGCTGAACAGATGACATATTTGGATCACAAGATTTTCGTTTCCATTTCCAGCGAGTGAGTATCATAATCAGATATATAAACATTTATTTTTTTCAAGGAAAATGTTTTAAAAACACTCGGATTTCTTTACTAGTTGAATGTCCATAAATATTAAGTATTGATTATTTAATTATTTCGTGTACAGAGAATTTCTTGGCCAAGCCTGGATGAAAACTGACAAGGCGGTTCGTGCTCCTCATATATTGCTTATGACGAAAAGATTTAACGAAGTGTCGCAATTGGTGGTTTCGGAAATTGTTCGACGTTCCAATATGTCGGCGAGGGTTGCAGCTATCGAAAAATGGACGGCGGTTGCTGATATTAGCAGGGTTCTCCATAACTATAACGGAGTTCTTCAAATTTGTGCAGCCTTCACTAACAGCAGTGTCTTCAGATTGAAAAAGACGTGGGAGAAAGTTTCTAAAACGGTAAATTTTATTAATAATTATTATTACTTCTATCTTCATTTATTTTTCAGTTTTATTTCCAAAATTGTTTAAATGACATTTATTTTTCATACATTACATTTACTATATTTTTTTTTTATTATTATTCACATTATTTTTTTTTATTATTATTTATTATTATTCATTATATTTTTTTCAAATATTATTCACGAAAAGGGATATTTGAAATGATTGGCGTATGCTTTGAATATTATTTGAAGTAATTATTGCATGCCTTGAATATTTGAAATAATAATTTCTAGTACGTACTTCCTACAAAAATTACCACTTTAAGTATTTGGTAATATTAATTTTTATGTTACAAATAAGCAGTATGAAGATATTTGTATTATATTATTATTAAATAGTAAAGTATTTGAAATAATTATTTCTAATACATTTGTTTCACAAAAATTAATATTTTCATTATTTTATAATATCAATTGTATTACAAATAAATATTACTAATATAACCTAACCTAACCTTCCTTCTTAACCTAACCTAAAATTGCAAACAATAACGAAGCAATGAATATTCTGAATTTTTTACAGAAAATAATTTTATTAATGAATTTCTTCCAACACTGTTTCTTGATTGAATACTCAAAAAATTATTTAAACATCTCAGAACTTTTGATTAAATCGAACAAATTTGAAAAATTTATTGATAAAATATTGTATGATTATAATATAATTTTATAAAATAATATAACAAGTATCTTTCATTATTTTCCAGACGAAGCAGACAATCGAAAGACTTCAAACGATCGTTTCATCGGACGGACGTTTCAGAAATTTAAGAGACGCTCTGCATCGATGCGACCCACCCTGCATCCCTTATTTAGGATTATACCTAACCGATCTTTCTTTTATAGAAGAGGGTACACCAACTATGACTGAGGACGGCCTTTTGAACTTTTCAAAAATGCGAATGGTAATTCTTTTACTATATCTATAGTTGCTCTATTTATACCAAAATAAATGCTATAAAATTAGATTGAATGCAATCTACTTAATAGGTTAGATAAAATACATTTTATCAGATAAATTAAACTGAATGAAGCGTATTGAATAAATTAAATCGAGTGACGTTTCAATTTATTAGATTGAATGAACTTTATTAAAATAATTGAATCAGACAAGTTTTATTAAACAAATTAGACAAAACAAATTTTTCTAAAAAAGTTAAATGAATTTTTTCAAATGAAGTCGATAAAATATATTTTTACAAATGAAGTAGATATAATAAATTTGACTAAATAAATTAAGAGAAATAAATGTTCTCAAATGTAGTAGTAAAATAAATTTGACTAAACAAGTTAAATAAAATAATTTCTTTCAAATGAAGCAAATAAAATAAATTTTTACAAATGAAGTAGATATAATAAATTTGACTAAATAAATTAAGAGAAATAAATGTTCTCAAATGTAGTAGACAAAATAAATTTGACTAAATAAATTAAGAGAGATTAATGTTCTCAAACGTAGTAGACAAAATAAATTTGACTAAACAAGTTAAATGAAATAATTGTTTTCAAATGAAGTAAATGAAATAAATTTTACTAAAGAAATTAGATTAAACAAGTTTCATCAAATAAATTAGATCAAATAAATTTTATTAAATAAATTCCATTGTATAAGTTCAATGACAGTTGTAGAAATGTATACATTTTAATAGCAATTGACCTTTCGACCTATGACGTTTAAAACCTTTTTAAATATTGACTCTTGTGGACATTCTTCGGTAAACTTACGTTACATTATACTCCTCATTTCCTGTAACTTTTCATTTATTTCTTATACAAAGAACATATTTATACATATCTCTCATTTATTTCTTATTTAACCTAACTTTAAATTTAACCCATTCGCTGCCAAGCCTAAATTGTATGAAGTTATTCGCTTTGCCATTTCTGTTTTATCTTTTTGCACTTGAAGGTCATTTGACTGCAAACAGCAACTTTAAAACTTGCTAGTTAAAAAGTTAAATGAATTCTTTTGAGGTTATTTCTTTACTAATATCTTCCACTATTCTTTGTTTCACTATATTTATACATCACACTTGTCATATTATAGAATTAGTTCAAAAATGCTTTGTTATTCGAATTATTGTCTTAAACAAAATGGTGACTGAGAGTCAGCTCTCGAGCGCAAAGGGTTAAGTGTTATTGTTCACGACTATATTCGTGCTGGCAATGCGTGCCACGAATATATTCGTGGTTGGTAGCGAATGGGTTAACTTAACAAATTTAAATTAACGCGTTTATTTCCCGTAACATTTATTTATCACATGCGTCAGTCAAGACTAACTCAGGGCTATAACATTAAAAGGAAAAAAGAAAATTAAAATGTTGTGAGTATTTTATATTCAGGGATCCTTGATAATGCAACTTATAGTTGGATCTAAATTTCAAAGTATTCAAAATTTGAGTAAGGTTCTCACATTTAAGCAGTAAGTGCATCACGAGTGAGACTCGTCAAAGTATGGGAAGTGATTAACCCCTTGCACTATTTTGACGAGTCTGACTCGTGACACACTCATACTTCGTCTGTGACCAATTTTACTAGAATTTTGAATACATTTCAATTTGGAGTTGAAGACCAACTATAATTTGCATAGTCAACGACTTCATGATACCAAATTCACATAACATTTCAAGTTTCTGTGTTTGTTTTTATGCTATCTCTGAAATTAGTCAGTGCTGACTGACGCAATTGGCAAAAACATAGTGTAAGGGGTTAAACGTATCCAACGTTGAAATGTTGCAGATCGCCCACGTGATCCGCGAGATACGGCACTTCCAGCAAACACCGTACAAGATCGAATTAATAACAAAGGTAACGAACTATCTGCTGGATCCGTCGTTGCTCCTGAACGACAAAGATCTGTACCGCATGTCCTTGGAGATCGAGCCAAGGACATCCAGGCTAAGTAGTTCAGCATTGATTAATTTGCCACCCTCCGTAAGCAACACGTCAACAAAGTGAATCTAAGTGTCAAGCTACTTCAAATAATTATCTTATTCTTCAGCTAGATTTTAGATTAAATGGAAAGAGTCCATATTGATTGTTAAAGTCTCATCGTTGAGAGGAAACGAGTACATAACCTTCCGGACGAGGTCTGGCTAACTCAATCCGGTGATCTTGCGGATTCGAAGCTAACGAGTAGCAAACTCCTTCCTATTTTCCGGATATTTGTTTGTCCCGCGTCGGCCCTTAGGGTGAGTTGGTCAGGTCTACTTCTGGGGTTCCAAGATTTAATCTTTCTACGATCGTAGTATACGAAAAGTTGTCTGGTTTTACCTGGGAACGTATGTCACCCACAAGTTGGCGCTAATTGATCAGAATACAAAAATGCCTCGTATTTGTCTCGAGATTTGCAGTTGTCGTTCTTAAACGCGCCAATTCGTGGGTTGATAATAGTTGTAGTAAGAAGAGTTCAAATTTTTAACCTCGGTGTTGATTCTCTACGGATTTTACATACGCGTCCATCAACGCGGGATCGATGTTGCACTGAAATTGTAAATCCACCTGACCTGAGAGGAGTTCCACGAGGTTAAGTCCCACGTTTTTTCCTTGAGTGAACGGGATCGTTTTGCGCCGCCTGGAGCCGATGCATTTTTAAAACCCCGTCCATTTCTGTCCACTCCCGCTCGTCGTACAGTAACGTCCGTCTTTCTGTATCTCAACTCGTGAATTTCGATATACATTCGAATTCAAGAAACGTAGCGCAGTTTCTTTCAAAACACGGTGTCTCGATAACTCTACTGCAAGACGTTTCTCTTGTTTTTACTGACACGGTTGAATAGCTAGGTGAATTGTTTAGTTTGGAGCGAATTTTGTGGTAAAGAAATCTTTCTCAGGATGTTTTTTGTCATATCAAGTTAATTGTTACGTACGTACATATTGTTGCCACATACGTGTAAAAAATTACATATGTGTAAAAAATTGCATATATGTAAAATTACATACATGCAAAAATAAACACACATGTAGAAAATTACATACATGCAAAAATAAACATACACATAGAAAATTACATACGTGTATGAATAAACATATATGTAGAAAATTACATACATGCAAAAATAAACATACACATAGAAAATTACATACATGCAAAAATAAACACACATGTAGAAAATTACATACATGTAACATGGTACTATATGTCTCTGTTTAAAAAAAGTATATTAACTTGATATCCCAAAAAATGTGACCTTAAGAAGATTTTTCTTTGCCACTGTATTTAACCCTCCAAATCAAATAACTCGACCTGTTGACATTTTTACGTATCGTTAAAAATAACGAAAATATCGTGGTGTTACAGAATTTATGAAACATTCTTTATACGAAGTGTGTTTTGAGTAAGGTCCGTTTTGAAATAAAAAATTGAAGTTCCATCTGAATTGTACAGAAAAGAGTTTTATATAGCTACTTTTTAAATTGTAGTAAATAAAAATTTAGTTTTAAATTTTTAGTTAAAATTGCATTAATTGGAATTTTTGGTTTGAATTTATTGGCGATCGGTAATATAGTACTGCGCCATTTTGAAATGTCTGATTTCTCTGTTGATGTCTTTCTGCAATATAGCAAAATGTTTTTATATAGTATTGTGTATGTACTTTTATATGTACTAGTTAAGTTGTATGTATTTCATTAATTGTTTTCATATTAATTTTTATATATTTCTTTGCGAATTATTAATGTAGTTATACTGCATTTTATACTGAATTTTAAATTACAAATAATTGAACTAATCATATAATAAGATGACTTTTTGCCGAACTGTTATAAATGATCGGATGAGAATTATTAAAAAATTTGATCAATAATTTTAAACTTAATTTTCGTTGTCAGTTTTCTTTAAGTAACTATTCAATTAGCTTTAATTAAGGGTAATATCAAAACGGATCTTATTTATACAGCACACCTTGTAGGTTGTCGATTTTAATGAATCAGATGTACAGGACGTACCATAATGTGTGTACATAATTTCAGTTACGAATGAAATTAAAAAATTTTGAAACTTTTATAGTTTCATTTTCTAAATTTTTAATTTTAAACTCTTTCAATTTGATAAATTCCTAAAATTCACAAATTGAAACTATGTAAATTTTTAATTTCTAGATTGGAAAATTTGTAGGTTAGATTATTTGAAATATTGGAAATTTGAAAATTAGAAAGTTTGTAATTATATTTTTATTTTTTAAACTTTATGAATGATTAAATACCTAAAATTCTAAATTTGAAAATTCGGAAATTCTTAATTGCCAAGTTCGAAAATTTGCAGATCAAAATAATTGAAATACTCGAAATTTAAAAACTTGAAAAATTTAGAAAATTTAAAATTAAACTTTTATTTTTCTAGCTTTCTAAATGACTAAATACCTAAAATTCTAAATTGAAAAATTTGTAAATTTAAAATTGCAAACTTTTAAGTTAAAAATTTTTGAAATTAAAACATGTTAAATTAATTTCAATGAAAAATTTATTCGAACTTAACAACTGAAAAATATTTAATATCTGCAAATTTTCAGCACTATCCAATAAATCAAACATTGTCCAGAAGCAATACAGATTACTAAAATCTCGAAACGGTATACAAATCATTTGATACCGGCGTTGAATCGATTACTGCAATTATGTCCACAAATAATGACACGGCCTGTACATTATGGTAATATTCGAATCCTTGTCGATTGGACCGTTATTTTCATTGGAACACGGAATTGTTGTGATACAATATTGATTGTTCTATATTCAGAAGGATTTACACGTGATATACTCCTGTTTATTTTGTTATATCACAGTTATTGCTGTTATCGAGATGTACACATCGTCGAGAGACGACGTTAAACCGGTGGATGCTGTCAATAACTCTTAAAAAAAAGAACGATCCATTAAAACGGGGTGCAGTATACGGGATGATAAAGAAATCGAGGGATTTTGAGTACGGATTTTTAGTTAGCATAGCTCAATCGAGCAGTATTACTATTTGAAACTGTGAGAGTTCAAATGAAAAATTGATATTAAAGATATACTAGAGACGAAGATTAGGTGAAAATCGAAGATTGTATTTGACAATCAATAGCTTAATGACTTAATATGCCTTGAGTCGAATTTTATTCATGGACTGACCTGATTTCTTTCTTTTAGATTCTCATTTTCACGGTTCTATTGATGCACATATTTCATGAAATGTACAAAATACTTGTGTTAGGTTATAGTGATATAAGTTTATTTAGTTCGTTTCCGTTTTAAGATATAGTGTTATGTTCATGAGCTAATAGAAGGTAGGCTTCCCTTGTGTGTAGAGGCAGTAAATATTATGACACTTTGCTTTCGATATTTTGAAATTTTCCAATTTCCATACTTTCATATTTTCGAATGGTTTAACTTTCAATTTTTTTAAATTTTCGCACATTCATCTTGTTCGCTATTTTGTTTTTTTTATATTATACGTATAATGGTTAGGTTATTATTATTATAGTGTAATGGTAGATTATGCAACTGTTCAATAGTTAAATGGTTTAATCGTTCAATTTTTCAATTTTTCAATTTTTCAGTTTTTCAGTTTTTCAATTATTCAATTATTCCATTATTCAATTATTCAAAAATCAAATATTCAATTTTTCAGTTTTTCAGTTTTTCAGTTTTTCAATTATTCAATTATTCAATTATTCAATTATTCAATTATTCAATTATTCAATTATTCAAAAATCAAATATTCAATTATTCAATTATTCAATTATTCAATTATTCAGTTATTCAATTATTTTTTTCAGTTTTTCAGTTTTTCAATTATTCAATTTTCAATTATTCAATTATTCAATTATTCAATTATTCAATTATTCAATTTTCCAATTACTCAATTACTTAATTATCAAATTATTCAATTTTCTAATTACTCAATTACTCAATTATTCAGTTATTCAATTATTCAAATATACAATTATACAATTATTCAATTATTCAGTTTTTCAATTTTTAATTCTTCAGTTCTTCAATTCTTCAATTTTACAATTTTCGAAATGTCTAAAGTACATTTTTTAATTCTCATACTTCAATTTTTAAATTTCCACATTTTCAAATACTCAAATTCTCAAAATTTAAACCCTTTATATTCCGATGTATTTTCTAAATTGAAAAATGAAGAATTTTTAATTTTCAGTTACTTATAATTTCAGATATTGAAATTTTTTAATTTCTTTAATATTTATATTTCCAATAATTCTAAGTTCATTTCCATAGTTGTCTCCAGTTTTCAATTTTTCCAAGATCTCAATTTGTACATTTTTATATTACTTTTAAATTCCCACATTCTAAGGTTTCGAAATTACCAAAACTATCCAACTTCCCAAAATTGCAGTTTTCCAACTTTGAAACTTCTCGATTGAGAATTTGAAAGTTCTACAAATATAAGTAATTTAAAACTTCCAATTTCAAAATTGGCAAATTTACAGACTTCTTATTATTTGAACTCCTAGATTTCTGAAACTTTCTAAATATCCAAAATTTTCTAAATTTCATAATTTTCTTAACATTCGTAATTTTCAAAAATTTCTTAATTTTTGTAAATTTGTTATATTTCCAAACTTCTCTATATTTGCTTTATTTCTGAAGTTCTTCAGTTCTCGACTTTCCACTGTACTAAATTTGAAAATGGAAAAATATCTGAACTTTTAAATTCAAACATGTGAAAACTTCTGAACATCGAAACGTACCATTTTACCCTGCGTCACCGTTTCCCTAGGGAAGCCTGCCATGCTCACCATTGTATATATTTAAATGTACCGTAATTACTTACTGTGAAGTATTTATCTATAACGACGCAAGTACAAACTATCAATTTGCATATCCCTGATTTGATTCGATATATGGAAAGTTAACCTTAAAGCATATCACTAAATACGTATCTAACATTAAAACGATACCTTTAATATCATTATAATTTGATAATTTACCTAATTGGATCATTACGTTAC